TCCATTTTACATATAAATATATATATAGACGAGTATAATCACGAATTTGCTGATGTAAAAAATCAAGGTAAGAAAAAAGTCTTTTTTTTTTCTTTAGTTTGTTTCTCAACAAAATTTTAAAATATATTTCATAATAGAAGTAACAATCAAGCAATTGCGTGAGAAAATTAAAGATTTAGAAGATAAAACAGAATCAACAATTCAGGTGAATTATTGATAATGAACTTTTTAAAAAAAAAATAATTTTTTTTTTTCTTTTTCTTCAATTTTCTTTTGTTTTCAGCAACGTATTAAAGAAAAAGAAAAAGAACTTCAACGTATCTTCGGTATGGTATATCGTTGTACTTTTTTTTTTTTTTGTTATTGTTGTTACTCTGAAACTGATAAGAGAATCATCTAAATAAATATATTCATTTATTTTTGTCCAGCTGAAAAAGAACGACAGTTACAAAATCAACAATTTGATCTTGTTACTAAATATGCCGAAATGGAAATGCGTCAAACCCAATTACAATCAGCATTAGATCATGCACATCAAGAAATGTTTGAATATAAATCAAAACAAGAAGATGCAACTAGTGCACGTTCATCTGAAATTGATATACTTAATCAAGATTTAGAACGAGCAAATGAAGTAATAATAAAAATAGAAATTTATTTATAAGTTGTTATATTTTTTTTTGCATTAATTCATTAGCGAGCATCGAATGCTGAACGTTTAGTTGATAAATTACGTGAACAACTTGATCAAACACAAAAATTTATGGCATCCGTATCAACAAATAATAATTCTGATGAAAGTATTTCACAAGAGGAAACTGAAAAAAAATTACGTGAAAAACTTGAATTTGAATTAGCATCTAAAGAACGTGAAATAGCAGCACTTGTTATTGATACACAAAAATTACAATCAACTTTAATTAAAGTCAAAGAAACATCTGTTGCACAGGTACATTAAGAAAAAAACCAATCAAATAAAAGAATGATGTAGAAGATTTATGAGTCAAATTTTTGTTCTTTTTTTTTTCAATATTTAGATATCTGATCTTGAAAATGTTTTAAATGCAAAAGAAAAACTTATTGCACAACTTGAAAGTAAATTACATAGTCAAGCTGATTATGACGAAATGAAACGTGAATTAACGTGAGTCAAATATATTTTATGAGAAGAAAATAAACATGTTATGATTCAATGGAAAAAAGAAAAATCATCTATTTGTTTTCTTTTTTTATAATAGTATTTTAAAATCAATTGAATTTTCTTCATCAACTAATTCAAATAATGATCAAACAAGTAGTGTACCAAAAAAATCATTAGAAATACTTTTATTAGAAAAAAATCGAGCATTACAAAGTGAACAAACACAAATGAAAGTGGCGCATGCTGATCTTGAAAGTAGGTTTCAAGAATTCAATCATAATGCAAATATTATGACTGAGTTTTTTTTTTCTTTTCTTCTTATTCTTATCGTCCTATCTGATACTTGAAAATAGAGACAAAGAGAACGATTTTGTCGTTGTATATAACAATATATATAAATTCATACTATATCAACTTTTTTTTTATCGTAATATTTATCTAGGTAATACTAATCATCATTCATATCGTCACTATTCTTCATGTTCACATCAACCAAATACACTTTCTCTTCTCTCTTCTCCTTCATCACCTATTTCGATTCCTTTGAAATTATCCTCTCAGTCAACAAATTCTAATATTACTGAGGAAATGACTAAATCTTTAAATAATTCTCCATCAAAAATCATATCACTTTTACCATCAAACGATAATCTTCAATCAATATGTAATTCTCTCTCTGCTCCTGTTGATACAAAATATTCATCATGTCCAACAATGATTACTCCAACTGCTCCACTTATCTCATCTTCAACAACATCAATATCATCTGATCATTCTTCTGGTAAAAGACAAATTTAGTTTAATAATAATAATAATAATAAAATACTTATGTGTCAGGTCAACAACTCAATTCTGTTCAATGGACAAAACTTCCTTGTCCACCACCAACATCATCATCATCAAGTCCATCACCTTCAAATACAGCAACAACATCAACAGATATAAAACCATCTATATCTATACCAACAAATAATAATTCATTAGAACCTCTTGAAACAACATATGTTGCTAATATTGTACGAAAACTTCTTGCACAACATAATATAGGTCAACGTATATTTGCACGTTATATATTAAGTTTATCTCAAGGTACAGTTAGTGAATTATTATCAAAACCAAAAGCATGGTCAAAATTAACTGAAAAAGGCAAAGAAAGTTATCGAAAAATGTGGTCATGGGCTAATTCTGAAGAAAGTATATTAGCTTTAAAAAGTCTTAGTCCACGTAAAGGTATGAAAACAAAAACAAAAAAAAAACAAAGAATAATTTATTGATTATTTTTCTAAATGAATAGGTTCAAAAGATAATACATATCCATTAACACAACAAAAAGTTTTACAAGTTTTATCTGATGAACCAAAACGTTCTCGTACACCATCAACATCATCAACATCATCTCGTGAACATTCTCCTATTGAACAATCAAATATAATGTCTTCATCAATGTTTTCAACATTTGTTCCATCATTATTAATGCAAACAACAAATAGACTTAAAAATGATATTTATTCATCATATAATATACTTTGTCCTCAACCAGAAAATTATCGTAATTGGTTAATGTTACAAGAAATTGTTCGAACAAATGCTATGATTAAACAATTAAAACCAACAGATATTGATGAAAATGAACAAGAAAATGAAGATGATATTGATGAAAATCCACTTGATTTAAGTATGAAAATTGATACAGATCAAACAATAATTAATAAACAATCAACAATAAAACATAATAAAACTATATTAATACCATTAACTGAACAAGATATATTAAAATATCGTTATATTAATACAATGGAATTAGTTCAAACAATAAAAGATATTTTAAGTCGTTATAGTATATCACAACGACATTTTGGTGAAAAAATTCTTGGTTTATCACAAGGAAGTGTTAGGTAAGAATGATATTCTTTTCTATTTCAATGAAATAAAAAAAAAAAACTAATAATTTTTTTTTTTTAAATCTCTTTTTCAAGTGATATTCTTGCACGACCAAAACAATGGGAATTATTAACACAAAAAGGTCGTGAACCATTTATACGTATGCGTTTATTTTTGGATGATTCTAATGCAATAAAACAACTTCTACAAACTGTTTCATTAACATTATCACCATCAACATTAAATGATTTTCATTCAAAAAATATAATTTCAAATGAAAATTCAATTGATTCACAATCAAATGATTGTTCACAATTATTATCAAATGAAAGTTTATCATCATCATTATTAAATGAAATAACAACAAATACGACTACTACTACTACTAATAATAATAATAAATCAAAATCTCGTTCAAAAATTAATAACAATCAATGTCGACAACAATCAAATACAAAATCACAAATACTACCTTATGAATTACCACTTATATCTCTACCAAGTAAAGGATTATATTTTATATAAAATTTTTTATTTTTTTTATTTTAATTTATAATTATTTATTTAGCTGTAATTGATACAGAACAATTAAGTTCACAAGTTCGTGAACTACTATCTTCGTATAGTATTGGTCAACGTGTATTTGGTAAATATTAAACAATAAAGATTATCAAAAAACAAACACATTCATTGGTTTTTTTTTATTATGTAGGTGAAGCTGTTCTGAATCTTTCTCAAGGCACAGTTAGTGAAATTCTATCGAAACCTCGACCTTGGCATGTATTAAGTGTCAAAGGTCGTGAACCATATATACGTATGTATACTTGGTTTCATGATACAGGCAATGTACAAAAATTACTTGCTTGGAAACAAGAACGAGATAGTAACAAAACTAAAATTAAAAAAAAAATTTCCTATTGATTAATTGAATTTGTTTTTTTTTTTGTTTTTGTTTCGTCAAGCTTTACGACGTACAACACGTACTCAAACTACAACAGACAATATTGATATAGAAAGTAGTAATAATTCTTCAAAACGACGATATTTATTTACTGATGATCAACGTCGTATATTACAACAGATATTTGAAAATGAACCATATCCAAATCAATCAAGATTAGAACAACTTGTTGATGAATTATCATTACCAATGAATAAAATATCGAATTGGTTTCATGATGCAAGAATGAAAACTAAAATACATATAAATTCGTTAGATATCGATAAACTTTCTACATCACCTTTAAATGATGATGATGATGATAATAATACTAATAATTTATCAACAATTGAACCTTTAAATAGTTCATGGTTTAATGATTCCGATAGTACAAATAGTCCAATAAGTTTATCTACATCATCAACAAATATTGCTTCTTTAATTGATAATAAAAAATCTACAGGATCTGTATCAACATCAATATCAAGTAGTAAAAAACGAAAATCAGTTCCACAAAAAATAATAACTACAAAAAAATCAATTATAAATTCAACATCAACTGAGAATGATCATTATGATGAAACTACTGTGTCAAATCAAACAACGAATGATTCAACAAATTTTATTGATATTAATACTTGAAAATGTTGTTGTTTGTTTGTTTCTTTTTTTTTTTTTTTTTATTGTTCATTTTCATATAACCAAGGTGATATTAACAAAGAAAAACAAAACAAAACAAATTGGTGATTTTGTAATTTTTTTGTGTTCTTTTCTTTTCTTTTGCTTACTTTTTCGCTCAAAATTTTTATTGTTTGTTTTATTGTATTTCTATATTTGTGAGTATTGCTCAAGTATTGAAACTAGTCGTGAACAAAACTCAGTTGTTCCAATAAGTGCATATAAAACAAAAGAAACAACATAGAAAATGAATGGTGTGATATAAATTCTATTTGAATAGTTGTTTCATGTTTCGTTCTTGTTCTTTGTTTTTGTTTTTTTTTTCAATTTCAGCAAACAATAATTTTTATTTGTATTTCAATGTTGTGTATGTGTGCAATAAATGACAGTGTATACATCTAACAAATAAGAAGCATAACATATTAATCGTTCGATGATTAATTAATTAGTATTTCGGATTTATTTGTTTGTTTGTTTTATTCTTTAATTAACAAAGAAACTTCTTTGAAACAAAAATATGTGAAATAATCAAATGTATATGTGATGTTTTTCTTTTCTTTTTGTTTTCGTTTGAATATTAATAAAAATTTTCTATTTGTTTTTATTATTGTATTGAATATGTTTTTTGAATTTATTTATTGCAGGTTTACAGGAGCAGATAAAGAGAGAAAACAACAACAAGAAGAAGAAAATCGTATATGATGATTAGAATTCTATAGTTATATGATGACATAATCATTTCTTGTTTCTATCTTTTATCCTTATCTATTTGTTTAATTTTTTTTTTATACAAATTTAATAAATATATTTATATTTATTTAGAACGCTTTCATGAGCTTGACAAACGTTATCGAGATATTGAATATACTAATAATGAATTAAAACAATTGAATACTCAACTTGAAAAAGATTTATTGAGTGTTGGTGGTGTTACTGAATTATTTCGACGTGGACCAGAAGTAAAATTTTATCTTATCTCGATTTAAAATTTATTTTATATACTTTATTCTTTTACTCTTATTTAGGGACAACCAAGTGATAGTAGTATAAATGAGACTGGAATAATTAAAGATGTATTGAATCAATCATCTGTATCTTCAACATTATATAAAGATTCGTTAACATCAATTTCGCAAAAAGATTCATCATCAGATGAAGCATTAACAGCAATTGTTATTAGTCAACGTGAACGTTTTCGTATTCGAAATGTTGAATTAGAAAATGTAATATCATTAATTATGTAAAAAGTCTATTAATATTTATTAAGCATTTTTAGGAAAATGTTTCATTAAAACAACAAATTGGCATATTTCAAAATGAAATGGATAAACTTCGATCAGATAATATTAAATTATATGAAAAAATTAAATTTGTTCAAACTTATCCAGTATGTATATCATTATTTTATTCGTTTTTTTTTTGAAAGTCTTATGAAATAATATATTTATATATTTGATATAGACAACACGTGGAACAGATGACTCTATTGATCGTTATTCACGTAGTTATGATGCATCATTAGATCCATTTACTAATTTTACTAAACAAGTAACTGAACAATTTTGATATTGAAAATAAAATGTATTCTTTTTTTTTCTTGTTTATTTAAAAGGAAAAACAAAAGAAATATGAATCACTTAAATTACACGAAAAATTTGCTTTAAATTTTGGTCGTTTTATTTTATCATCACATCAAAGTCGCACATTTTTTGTCATTTATTTTATTCTCGTACATATTCTTATCTTTCTTGTAAGTTATATTTTATCTCAAAAAAAAAAAAAAAATTTTATTTAACAAATATATTTTAGTCTCTTTATAAAATGGTTCATACTGGTTCAGCAGTACGTGATATGTCACAAGTTTGTTTTGACCAGTATGATATACGTAATTTGATTTGATATCAAATACATATATTTAACTTGATTTAGATTTCGAGAGCATATGGCAGGTGTTCATGGCGAAAAAGACTTCCATCTTGATCATGTTCATGGTGGGGCAGGTGTAGGATTAACACGGGCACCTCATCGATAGGACTTTTGTTTTATTTATTTATTTATTTCTTTTTTTTTCATGGAAATACATAATATCTTCATATGTTTTCTTTTAAATATCAATTAAAGATATAATCACATTCTACTAATTAATAAGAATTCTTTACACTAACACATACATTTATTTTATTCATCAACTATTGTACATGATCTTTACTCTCATAAATAAAAATCAAGGAAATTTTTCGCGAAAAATTTTTTGAATTGAATTGCAGAAGTTCACAGCATTTTATCATCCACAAGATAGCATCCATGAGGAAACCGAGTATACGAAGCACTCAATAAAAAATTTTTTTTGATTTCTTTTGCTCGTTCAAAGCATCAATGTCTGAAACCACCAACCCCAAAATTTTAGGTTCTAATACTCTTCCTTTCAAAAGTTAGCCAATACCAACTTTTAGCACTATCGTACCTTTTTGGGAAAAAAACAAGAAAAATTACTCTATAAAAGATGTGTCAGCTTGCGTCTCAAGAAATCACTGCAATTTTTCATTGTATATATGAGAAGATAGAGAATAAAAAGCTGAACAAAATAAGCTATAGTCATATAATATAATGCCTATCAATTCAAGTTTTATAAAGCAAACAAGAGTCAAAGAGGCCCTTGAGGGTGTGGGTGTGTGGAACATTTGTGAAAAGAAGGTTGTAACACCCACATATACACCCCACATCCACATCCACCCACACAGTCGCCCTCACTCTCGTTATCAATAAAAGCGCTACTTACCCACTTTACCGATTTTTTCATCAAGTCTCGTGAATCATAGGATAAGAAAATTTAAATGTATACGCTCG